ACCGGATTGAGAACTTGTATGTGGCTGTCTTTCCCTAGAAATGTTTGGCTGGCTTTACTTAAAGTGTAAATAAAAGAGATTTTGGATATCTCAGACAAACCTAAGATATCCAACACATAAACCTTCACGAATGGATTTTCTCTAGGGATTACACGTTTCCTCCCATCTCCGTCTTTCAATATTATGACACAACTGGCTGGCATAGTGAACTAATGCTTATTTACTGAATTTGTGCAACTACAGGCCTTTTCTTTGTGGAGAGAAATAGCAAGTTTGCTCCTATCTACAGGCAGATTCTGAGAAAGGAATGTGTGGAGACCTGATATGCCTGGAGTTGAGATTCCATGAAAGGATGGAATAATGTTCTTTCATGTTTAAAAGAAACCATTGCATAGAGTGGCAGGAATGAGATTGTGACTTATTCTGATAATTTTGCAAGTTTTGACACAATGGGATGTTTAGGTAGTGCTAAGATGTTTGTACCAAAGGCAGCATAGACCCCCAACCATTCACCTGTTTCCCATATTGCAGCCAAGCTAGAAGCACACTAGGAATTACTGCCTCTTCCTCCATCTTGCTTATAAGTGAGATTGGAGAAACAGGTTCAGAAAACCACTGTTGATCACGCTATTTTATGTTTTGGTAAATGTTACAGCGGAAGATGTACCTTTTGTGTCTTACGGGTTAACAAGCCAAGATTGGATGGCATTGGTTTCTTCCCCACCATTGTTTAAACTGTAATGCTTCTTCAGGAAATAATTAAAAAAAAAACTTTGTGTTACCTGCCTGGTCTTAGACCTCTTCAATGATTGTATCAACTTACAAACTCAGGTTGCCTTTTATTTTGTTTGAAGCTCCTTTATCAGAGCTTTGGTGACTGAATGTTAAGTGTTTGAAGTAGAGTAGATGGTGTCCTTTAAGCCACCAAACCAATAAGTTCTTTTGTAGCATTATTGAATACTTCTCAATCTTTGTAGCTTCTTTCCCAGGGAGAGACCTTGTTTTTAGCCCTTCCTCCTTATAAAAATTTTTAAGTAGTTAATGTAATGTGTGCTCAGACACCCAGATTGGTGGTGACTTTTCTTACTGTATGTGATAATGCTTGCGCTGTGCCTCACCTGTTATGCATCTGTTTAGTTGGTGGTACTCTTCATAGCAACAAAATACCCATGCAACATGTCTTGGTTTCCAGTATTTTTCTGTGCCTAAACACACAGCATTTGATCTGGGACAATAAATTAATAAATAAAACCAAACAGCTTGAGGAAACTGCAGACTCTTTTCCTCCATGACATCCTGAAAAATTCAGTGTTTTTTTTAAACCAAGATTTAACTCCTTTAAATAATTCTACACCTCCCTGAGGGAGATTCTGCCTGTGCTGTGAAAAACCAGACTTCTCCTGAGCTGCTTGCTTTTTAGTAAATTTTTGTTGTTGTACAAAATTTGTTGTCTTGTTTATCAGAACAAGCATAGTAAAACTTTCACAGAACAGGTATTTGCATACCGCTGTTGGGTTCAGCCAGGTGTATTGTTTTTCCTCTTCAACAGATGATTTGAACATGTAAAATTGGGTCTGCTGGTGTTCTGAACTCCAAACTTTGCAGAATTAAGTAAGACAGGTGAGGCACAAGTTTTGTTTAAACGGGCTAAAAATGTTAGAACGTGTGTTTTTAATGGAGGCTTCTGAATGTATCTTTGTGGTCCATGGAGAAGGCTGAAGGATGTAGCAAGGAGACGATGTATCAGCTACTGGCAGCCTTAAAACAAAGTCATGGTCTCTCTGGACTTTAAAATGTTTCTATGCAGTTTATTTTATTTTTGTTTAATCAAATAAATGTGAGTTTCACTTCATCTGTGGTGCGTCTCTTCAAATGGTCTTCCATATTCTGAAAAACAGAGGGCAGCTTGTGCCTTTTGCCTGTTTGGCCTACAACTGCCATCCTTCCTCACCACTGCCAGTGCTGGAGTTATACTCCCAAACAGCCAGAGAGCGCCAGGTTAGGGGAAGCTGAGATAAGAACATAATGACCTGGATCCAGGATCAGCTTGCTGTAAACAGGGATCCAGTTTTTGGGGATCCACATCCCCTGCCATGTTACAGCTTCCCAATAACACTTTCAGGGAACTGGGGCAGGGAGGTCTGCTTCCACCAGCCTTGTTGCAGTGCCCAAATGTGGATCAAACCAAGCAAATGTTCTTTGTCCAACTCAGTAATGTCTTTTTTTCCAGGTACAGTGGCCAGAACTGAACACAAGTGTGGTCACACCAAAGATTTGTATAAGGGCAGTATGATCTTGGCTGTTCTATTTTCTGTTCCATTCCTAATGGGTGCATAACAATGAGACTCTTTTACACAGCTGCTGTGCACTGGGCCAACTTTTTCATCCAGCTTGTCCACCCCCTTCCCCAAGATCCCTTTCTTGTCCAATCACTGCTAGCTCAGATCCCATCAGTACATACTTGAAGTTGCGATTTTTTTTTGCTCCAACTTGTGTTACATGTCATTTGCTTACACTGAACTGCATTTGCCAATTTGACGTCTGTTCTCCCACCTTGGAGAGATTCCGCTGGAGTTCAGCGAAAGGCAATAAAAATGAGCAGGTGCACAGGGGTGGGGGTTGGCTGGAGCAACTCCCCTGTGAAGAATGGCTACAACAACCAGGATCGTTTAGCTTAGAAAAAAGGTAAGTAAGGCTAAACATGATTGGGCGGGGGGGGCGGTGTTAGAATAATGCATGGTGTGGAGAGGGAGACATTTTTCTCCCTCTCCCATAACACTTGAATCCGGGGTCATCCATGAAGCTGATTTGAGAAAGCTTTAGGTGGATTAAAAGTACATTGTCACACAATGTATAGTTAAATTATGAAATTTGCTGCCATGGGAAATTATAACTGTTTATCTGGCCGGTTTTAAAAAGGAATTGGAAAGATTTGTGAGGAAGGCGGCTATTAGTGACTACTAGCTGTGCTCTATGTGCTGTCTGCTGTCTCCTTTAGCAGAGGTGGCATGTCTGCATACGCCAGATGCTGAGGAACTTTGTCAGGCAGTGTAGCACTCATGCTGCTTTAGGGATCCTCTGGGCAGCTGGTTTGCCATTGTGCATGATGTGCCAAGCTGGATGGACCTTTGCTCTGATCCAGCATGCCTTTTCTTATGTTCTTGTAGCAAGCACAAGATGTTGGAGTTCCGTCTCTGAATGGATTTGGAAAAGGAATTCTGTCACCCTGCATATTATAGAACAAGCACCTCCAGGTGCTTTATAAAGTAGATAAAGATTTAGATAGAGATTAAGACTGTGAGGAAGGACATCTCCAAGCTAGGAGGGAGAGGTAGAAACCTCTGAATGAGAAATGTTAATGAAAGGTAACCCTGCCAACAAGTACATTGTGGGTGGAGACACTATATTGCAGGCTCTCCCCATCCCCGCAGGAGAAACTGCTTTTCCTTTTAAAGATCTTATCAGTTTTATGTGTAATCTTTATACTGATACTGCTTGACACATTTATGGGCTTCTCTAATTTGAAGGATTTATGTGTATTGTGTGACTCTGCAGGCTACATGCAAGGAGGTTATGGAGAGCACTTTACTTTTCAAGTGAAATGTTAACATTCTAATTGAGCTGACTTGACTTCTTGGCACAGTGACATTTTATTTAAGGCTACTACTGTTCCTTAATTTTGGGTTGTACTAAATACTATATACAGCACTGCATTATCAACTTTGCTGTGAGCGCCATGTAACCCTGTGGGGCTGACTGTAAAAGGAGGTCTAGAGTAGGGGTGTTTTGATTTTCTTCACCCCTTGGGAAGCTGGTAACATGATCAGGAAAGTAGCATGAGGTGAGGACAAGGTTAAACCTTTCCCTCCTGTGCAGTTTCCAACATTCACTCTTTTTCCTTTCCAGTTGCGAATGAAGGTGGGGTGGGAAGAAAGGGAAACCAGGTAGAAGGTGGCTTAGCACCTTTAAGCCTTACAGGTTTAACAGTGTCATATTTTTGTCAACACACTTGTGGGGACAAATTAACCATCATCTTCAAATTAGTATAGCTGCCTTGAAGAAACCAGGTCATACATCCCTTAGGGGAAAGTATGTTAATGCAAACATACCTATTGGGGTACCTTGGAAGTTAGCAAAGGTTTAAATAAATCTGTCACTTAAACCTTAATGTAAAATAAATTGATTTAGTCCACCGTTACCCTTTCCCCCCCAGCAGCTTCTGTACATCATTTTCACTAATCTAGGAATATTGCTCTATAACTCTTCCCATGGTCTGTAACAGCCCAAGATATATGCTGAGCTGGTTTACACAACAAAAAAGCATTGTAGGTAACTAGCCACAGTGGGTTGCTGTCTGAAGTATGGCTTCAAAAAGTGGAAGACAACTTACCCAAAGCTGGGGGAGCAAATAGAGCAAACATGCAAGCACGCACACTTTAAATGTCATGTACGACTCATGTCCTGCTTGCAAAAGGGCTCCTTGCTTAAATAAACAACAAATTTATATGAATTTCAAATCATCACTTCTCTGGAACTGAGAATTTTTAATTCTGTACAATGAAATGACAGGCGGCTATTACTTAAACACTCTTGTGCTTGGAGTGTGTTTTTATCAAAAGTGACCCTAATGTTCCAAAGTATTTTCTGCTCTGGTACAGAGACAAGAAATAGGTACTCCTGGAACATTTTTGTCCCACAACTAAAAGGTGCATTTTCTGACTGAACTACAGCAAAACTATGCAGAGGAACACTAGGCAAGGAGGACTGAAACTTTTTGCAAAATAGAGGGAATACATGTGTACAGGTCTGTCTGCTAACTCCTAGAAGGTGCTTTATATTTAGATGCAATTCAGCCAAATAATCATGGAGAATCAAGTAGACTTGGTATGCATTCCTTTGATCCACAGGGAAAACAGTTAAGTAATGTTATCACAAGCAATAACCCCAGCACCCTTACTACCTTATAGGGGATACTGTACAAGAGATTAGTGAACCTTGAATCATTTTGTAGTTTCTTTTTAATGAAAAATTCAAGCCAACACAGCCAATGCATCATATAGGCAGATACCAGAATATTTTTAAAAATTACAAAAAAAAATCCTAAGTGATTCCTCCGAGAACCAAAGCCAGCACAATTTCACTTTCTCTGAACAGTGGTGAATGCTGGCATCTGAATAGGCTGGACCAAGTGTGCAGCTTGGAATACAGGTTTTTTCCGCATCTCAGAGAGCATTTTCACTGAGGGAAGAAGCTGGTTTCTTTTGATGATTTGCAGTGCCAGCTGAGTATTGCCTACAAAAGAATTTGCAAAGATGAAATACCTGATGAAAAATCAGCTATGCCCATAGTGGCTCTTTAGAAGCTGTCTGCTGGAACTAAACAGATTCCCATTACTACTTCACTAAGCACAAATAACATATAAAATGTTTAAAACTTCATTTCCTGATAGGAAAAGTTCAGTTATGTAAGTTTGCCCATTTCAGTAGCTCCATGACTATACTACAGTTACCAAGCAAGTAACTGTTCCAACAACACTTAGTCAATGCATGTCTCCTCACATCCTATATGGCATGGCATTCTCCAATCTGGCACCTGCAGATGTTTTGGACTTTTAAGTCTCATTGTTCCCACCCAGTATGGCCATAGTAAGGAAAGATGGGAGGAGCAGTCCTGGAAAGTTCCAAGCTATAGTAACAGGATATCCTTTCTACACACTTCTGTTTAATATATTCTACTTTCTCTCTCCTAAAATTCCTCACTTTTCGGCAGCTGTGCTGCTGAAGTAACAGAGAAGCATGGGAGAGACTGCTATGAAGGCATGAGCTTCATGGAGTAACTGCTTCACTTAGTACGGGCAGTGCCTTCCAGCACCAGAGCCTATGTCCAAACAGGTATATGGAAAGGCACCTAAACCCTGTGTTCAATGTAGCTGCTTTGACATCTGAAGCTGCATCAAAGATTTGCAATGCATATTTCAGTAGGATCGGAATTTGCAAGTATGCTAATATTTACCATTCTGAAGTTCAAGGTATACAGCCAGTAAGATAGCCTCTGGTGGGATCTCTTTTGGGTGAATCAATGAGGCAGCCTTACACCAAAATAAAAAGAGGAAACTCAAGTTGAATGCTTGTAATATGTATGCTCTAATACAGAAAAGAATACAAAATATAAGCAAGTAATTCAACCATTGTAATGAGAATTCTCAGATACATTATTCAAACATTATTCAAACTTGTTAGCCTAGCGGGGCAAAGTGATTAGTTGTGCCTAGTCAGAAGGCATTGTGCCATGTCAAGCATTGTCTCAAAAAAACAGCAAAAATCTCACAAAATGCTGAATGAAAGTACTACGCTTCTCTGCTATGCTGCATGATCAAGAGCAATAACTTGATCAGAAGCAGTGAGGGCTCATCTCCTGAATTAGGAATTTGTGTCCTAATTGGGAGGCCAAGACTATGGATCCCCAAAACCTCATCCTGCAATATGCTCTTTTCCAATTAAAATTAGATGAGGGAAAGGAGTGACCAACAACCCCCACAGTGTACTCAGGTTCCCCAGCTTAAGAAACCACTCCGTAACTCAACATCATGTCAAGCTTGGGGCAAAAAACTGATGTGAAAACACTTGCACTCAAGGACATGGGTTTAGTATTGCAACGTACTGTTTCTGTTTCTCCTACTAAAAATGCAAAGGTTTTTTTTCCAACCTGGTGCAGACACTTCCGAGCTTTGTCATACTCGCTTCTCAAGCAGTAGGCACTTCCAAGGTTGAACAGCATCATGGTTCTCGCAGATGTGACAGAACTGGGGTAACACTGGGGGGTCTGCTTGCCCGCTGGAAGAACATACCAAAGTGAGACATATTTATTTGAACACTTGTTAGTTATAAAGCTAAATATCAGCCACAGCGATTACTAGCAGCCAATGTAGCCAATGTTTTTGCAGGAATGTACACACCAGCATCAAGAACAGTTTTATATGTAAGATGGCAGCCAGCATTCACCACAGTTGATACAAAATGTGAAGAAGAGACACATCCCCAAGTATTTGTGGTTACCTGGGGCTACCTGCCTCAGCTAGCTGCAACCTCCCAGTGCATCTTTCTCATGAACACTGCCGAACCCAGCTAAAGCACAGAACATGAAGTGCTTTACAGAAGTCCTTACCCCCTTTGCCTTTTTCACTGTTACAACCTGGAATTGAGCTCAATTAATTCGCATTGTTGCCGCATGATAGATTCAAGAAGCTTAACAATGGGAAGGTGCAAAATCGTGGCATGGAAATAAAAGCAAACCGGCACTTGTTGGTTGCATAGTGTCCACCCCCAAGCCAATAGGTGGTTGAAGTTGCAAATCTTCTTGAGTAAGCCTCTATCAGCTTTGTGCATCTGGATCCTGCAATGTTTGCCCATTTTTCCAGGCAAAACTGCTCTAGTCCTGCTGGGTTCAGCAGAGCCTGTTGGTGACCAGCTACTAGTCTTGCATCCTGGGCTCTGACTAGGCTTGTAAGATGCTAGGGTTTTCAAACCTCTCTAGTGATTCTCTGGCTGTGCATTTAGGGTCAATGTCCCACTGGTAGGCAGATCTTCAATCCCAGATCCCTTGCAGACTGAAACAGATTTTCCTCTAGAATTGCCCTGTATTTGGCTTCAACTATCACTCCCAGAATTCTCAACAGTTTCTCAGCTGCTGCTAAGGAAAAGCATTCCCACACAGTGATGTATGAGGAATCTGGTTTGGGGGTGGGAAACTGTCAGAATTCCTCAGCTTTATCTCTCTGGGCTCTGACCATTTTTCCCTCTGCCCTAAGTCCACCATGTGGCGAGTGTTTGCATGGGCATCAAGCAGGAAACAAGTCCCAGCATGTCCGCAAGGCTGGCTTCTGCACATGCACCCGCTGTGCAAGCAGCGTTCTGCTCCCACAGACATGACTTGTGGGCTGAGTGTACTTGTGCAAAGCAGCTGGTAGGGTTCCTGATTGCCCATGGATCTGATCTTGGCTCGGCTCATTTCTTGGCCAGGATCATGCACAGGAAAGACATCTGGAGAGTGTCAGAGAGCCAAATTCTGGCCTGAGCTTCACATCACTATTCTCACAACATGAAGCTGTGACTAACATGCTTCGCTATCGGGGCAGCGCTCTGAGGGAAAGGCGCACTGTTAGCTTTGCACGGCACATAGGATTTAACAGTAAGGCCAAAAAGTTCAGCTTTGAACTCATCAGACCAAAGACCTCTTTCCCACATTTGCTCTGTCTCCAATATGTCTTTTGGACATGGGCTCGGTTCTGAATTTGCTTCAGCAATGGCTTTCTTCTTGCCATTCTTCCATAAAGCCCAGCTCTGTGAAGCATCAGCTCTCATATGGATGCTTTTCCCAACCCAGCTGCAGGTATCTGCAGCTCCTTCACCAGTTACCACTAGCTTCTTGGTTGCTTCCCTGATCATTGAGTTGGTGCATGGCCTTCTCTAAGCAAAGCTGTAGTTTAGCCTTAGTATTTCATTTTGCAATAACTGAAACAGAAGTGGGCAGGAAGTTGCTTCTCAGTTTCTTCATTCTATCATTCTACAGAATAATCCCATATGTGCTTGTATGCAAAGAGATACTTACAAGATTCCATTGCTTCATTTTCTCCTTTATCAGACCCTACAGGAAAAAAACAAGTCAGAACATTTCATGAACAAATCACAAAATTTTAACCATTTTAACAAGCAACAATTAAAACTCATTGTATTTTCACTGACAAATCAACAAGGATAAAGCTAAATGTATGCAAACATGCCATGTCACAAATATTTCAGATATGCATGTCCCCTGTTGTCAAAGTCTTTAGTTATAATATATGCCAAGTATAATGTGGCATTAATTCGTAGCATAAAGATGACTAGCTGGATAAAATACTACCAAAACCTATGATTGTGCTTTTGATCATATGAACTTCAAACAGACATTTGGAAATCAATTTATCTGTTCTTTATAGAAGTATATATTTTTTCTTGTTCGGGACCATATTTAAACCATTGCAAAGTAACAGAAAGTTAACATCTGTGAAACCAAGAAAGATTTAAAGAAATAACACAATTAAGGCACAGTTGTAGATTCCAATGATTGAAATAAACAGCTAAAAGATGGCAATATTTTACATAAAATGATTCTAGGACAGTTAAGTGTTATGAAATGTGTAGTTTCTAGGAAACATGCAAACCTCAGTCCTGCCTTTTATAACAATGCTTTAAAAAGGTAGAGCTGTTGCAAGTTACAGCAGGAAGGCAGTTGAAAGCATGACCGGTTCTAATCAAGTATGCACTCATTAACCTTGATCCTGCTCGTTTGAAGAAATCCCCAGGGACACATCAGTGACATTCTCCGGGTTCAAGTGAGTAATGGCATCAGAGATTCTGTCTAGAGAGATGAGCGCCTCTGCGGCGTATAAATGGCCAAGGAATCTACAACAGCAAGAGCACACCGTTACAAAGGTCATCCTCGCTACAAGTTACATCAAGCAAGCTATTGCTGGAAAGCAGAGAATAGGGATGCCCTTATCTGAGAGACTGCCTCGCTACAGTTAACCCCTATATTAAAAATTCACTAGAAGAAACTAGTGCCATAAAACAGCTATTGCCTGGGTGATGCAGAAGTGGAGGCTGCTAACCCACTTCGCTACCTGCTCCTGCAGTGGAAAGCAAGACCGCATGCTGAAGAGCTCCAGCTGGTTCATTAAACAGAATGCTAGGTGTCTTGTTATCTGCTTATATGTAACTACCGATTAGCCAAAGCTATCTTGGTAGTTCACAAACAAATCTTAAAACTACAAACTAAGAACAACATAGTAAAACATAGCTTTCATATAGAATAAATCTAGGAACCAAAGAAAAAGCCAGCAGCAGTGCAAAGACTGAAAAGCACACTGCACGATGTTTAAAACAGAAGGACTGAAAAGCCCTTAGGTGGCATTTCAAACCATGGGGAACATATAAATTATCAATAAGAGGAAAGGAGGGGAGAAGAACAGAACCAATTTCTCATTTTATGGAAAAAGCATCCACTACTGCTTGATGGCTAAGTGGAGGTCACAAGGCATGCAGTAGACAAAAGTGAAATATCGCAGAAATGTCCTAAAAACAAGACTGGGTCAAACTTACTTAAGGGAACCTGACAGTTTGGGTTGCTGAAGGAGTTTATCTGCATGGTTCAAAGCCATAAGGTTGTCCCCTAGTGCCAGGGCCACATAAGCGCTGCAAGCAAGTATGGAGCACCTAGAAAACACAATGATACCTTATAGTGAAACATACAGAAAAGCCACATAAACGTATTTTGACCCACTTTAAAAACTGGTAAAAGAAAAAGGTACATTGCAAGGTCAGTGCATCATTAATGCACTGTGCAAACAATGTACATTTCTCTTCAACTGTTTGAATCAAAAGTGGTTTATTTATTTAAACTGACAATGAACCCAGTATTTATTCTGAGCAACACAAAGGCAACTAACACTAAAACTAAGCATTTCCAGCACTGCTCCTTAATTTAAAGAAAAATGGTGAGTGCGCCTCGGTACATTCTGCTCAACTTGCACTTATGGCATCTCAGCAAAACTACTTTTTTGGACATTACTATCATTCAGCCTCTCAATAAAGCACAAGTTGGTCCTGAAATGCTTGCCCTGAAATTTGAGCCACACATTCCACAGCTTCAAACAAAAGGCCCCCATCAGGATGTCAGTATTAGGTCAGGCTTTTACAGCTTGTAATTCTGCCCTCCCCTCCTTTTTTAAAGCAGCACTTTGGGATATTTTCCACTTCACAAGGCAGAGTTCAAGGCAGGCTGCCTTGACTTCGGGGCATACGCCTTTGCCTGCCTTGCCACAGCCAAAGATTCCGTTCTTTTGCATCGAGGGAGAGGAGAGTATGTGGATCCTTTTGGACAGATCTGGTGTTGGGGGAGCTGCGAGAGAAGTACATTAAACTCTCTAACCAGTAGGTGGGCTATTACTGCTCCAGCCTTCTGGCAACTGTCAAGCTCACTTTTGGTTCAGCAGTAAGCCATGTTAATTCATGGCAGGGCCTGGAGTTCCTTTATTCCTGTGTCCCAGGAGGCATACCCTTTAATTATACACAAGCAGGATCAGAAACCTCTCCACTGCTCCCTCCCCATTTCCTCTCTACCATGCCCAGATGTCACATCAAATTTCTACACATACAAATGCTTGCCAAGGAAAGCAGGCGTCCGGGCTGCAGTTGCCAAGAAGAATAGTGTCTTACTGTGTATCAAGGGGTTAGGCTGTGGCTCTGGAGCAAGCAAACACTGTTTAACACACTAGCTGCTAAGGAATGACCACTAACGCTTGCAAACGCAAGCATGCCCACACTGAGTGCACATATATTGAACCATATTTGAGAGCAAATATAATGGCATGTATTTGTTTGCTGCCTTCGTTGCTTTCAAGCAACCCAAGGCAGCCTTCCTAATTCTCCTCCTCCTCTGAATCTTATCCTCACAACAACCAATCTGTGAGGTAGGCTGAGCTGAGAGTCCATGACTGGCCCAAAGTCCACCAGTAAGCTCCCTGACCAAGTGGGGACTAGAACCCAGATCTCCTGAGTCCCAGGCTTGCACTCTTAAGCACTATACCACACTGGCTCTCAATTATGCAAGGCATTACATCAGTAAACACTCTGCAAATCTTTAACACTATTGAGAGGAATCTTCCCACTACAGCTGCTACCACATACTCTGTAAGAACAGAAAGTGCATATCAGGAAAAAACAGATTTCCCAATTCTCCTTCCTCCCTGACTGTAAGTGGACACTGGATACACATGGACAAAGTGTGTTAAATAGACAACAGGAACTAGGGGCACATGGAGAATGACAGGAATGCAAACATGTTCCCAAAAACCGAAACATCCCCTTTCCAAAAAAGATAAGCAACAACCTTTGCTTAGGTACCTAGTCTTCATGAAGCTCAAAGTTGTTCGCATAGGAAGAATCTTTACAGAATTTGTGACAGCAAGTCCTTTGCTATGTAGTAGGGTGACTTGCAAGTTAGTTTTCCTTTTTTAAAGTTTATTAAAAGTTGATGGCTGTTTATGTCAGCTTCTGAAAAACTGAGTAATGGCTAAAGAGATAGACAACTTGTCTCTAACTGGCAATACTGCTCCTAACTTTGTCAAATCTGCCTAGCCCATTGACTCAAAAGGCCTGGCAGCCAAGTCCAAAGTAACTGTATGCCAATGGAAATGGTAAATGGCTTTAATATATATTGAGATCCTGAATGTTCTTGAGTTTCTTTTTTCTCCTCAGGATGATTTTGCTCAGAAAACAAAGTTTTTTAAAACTGCCATGCTTTATCAATGGGTCTGTAGAAACAACTGAACAAAGTTTATTCAACTAGACAGTGAATTAAACTTACAAAATTATCCTGGTTAGACTTCAGTATTGTGTATCATTAACATTAATGTGACACCTTAATTCACATACATAAACCAAATAAATGGCATCTGTAGGTGGCTAAACATGTTTTCCAAGAGAGCAAAGAAGTATTAAGTACTAAGCTGTTTAATAGTATATATGAATGAACTAAAAATTCACTGTTTGATTGGGAGGCTTTGAAATCAGCCTATCATTTTCTTCAGGAGCATTTCTTTCCACCTCTTACCAGAAGCAAAACCAAAGTGATGAGAGGGTTCTTTCTTTGACATATTAATGTTTCTTCCCCATTTTCTATTAAAATCATTTAGGTTATGCAGTGACTTTTCAGAATTTGTTTGCAATTCTATATCATTTTCTTTTTTACTCCTACTAGAGGATGGGAGTGGTTGAGTCTCGTCCCATATCTAGAAACAGCCCCATGTTTTGCTGGACAAATCACCTCAGACCTGGGGAACTTTGGAAGCAGACCAGCTCACCAGAAGGAACAGCTACCATAAAAAAGGAAATGCCATATATTGGGATTAACAACTTTTACAGCTAGAAACAACTTTTACAGCTAGAAACTATACCTTGAACTGCTACCATATTCCTACTTCTATTAATGTGATAGCTTTAGCTATTACATACCATATTTAAAAATATTTAAGCAATTACATGCCAGACAGCTGTCAAGACAAAATGCTAATACAATTAAAAGGCAATCCTATGCAAGTTTAGACAGAAAGCCTATACCTCCCAGCATGCCCCAGTCTTTTTTCTGTCTAAACGTGATAGGATCATGCCCTTAACCTTTTACCAAAAAGTTGGATTATAGTTCTAAAACAGTTCTCATGGCTCATATAACCTCCACCCACAAAGAAGAAAATGATACTTCCCAAACATATGACATATGCATTGTTCATTTCTTGATGGGCACTTGCACAACTAAAGGATGACCCTTTATGATCTAAATCTAAGATTGAGAGGAGGAAGAGAATTATGTAAGCCACCTAGAGTTCCTTGAAAAAAGTGGGATATAAATACAAGAAATAAATATATTTCAGACAGGTCAAAAACCAGGTGGCTCACAGAAGGCTATTTGCCATCACACCTGCAGAGGATGGAAACCAGGCAGAGATTACATATGGGTTTGGCTGAGCTGAAGGAAAAGAGATATGATGGAAGAGAAACCACAGCCATGCACCATCACAGGTTGCTCGAACCATTCTGTATATAAAGCATATTGCTGATGGGACCAGTGTCAAGTTTAAGGCAGCTAGCCAGGTTGTTGAGGGTGGAAGGAGCTGTTTTTAATGCATTGTTTTTAGCATTTTGTTTTAGCTTTATACTGTTCACCACTCTGAAATCTGTGTAGCTATGGAACAGCATACAAATACTATGCATTCATAAATCCAACACATCAGGAAGGCACCTGTAAAATTCATATCCCTCCGAAGAAAAATGTACAGATAGCTTATACAACAAGAACAACATACTGCTTTTGGACAGCAAAGGTAACTTCTTTGTGAGTGCAGTGGCAACATACAATTTAATTAGATGCTTGAAAGTAACAAATGGTGACAATTCAAGATTATTCATTTCCATGACGTTATTAACAAATTTCTATTTTTAGTCATCTTGTGCAGAGTATTAAAGACAGAATGCAATCAAGTTCAGCTCCCACAATTCTAACCATTCTGAGCAAATCTTAGAAGAACTAAAATCAATGTTTTTCTTCCCTCCTGTCATGCTGTTTTTTTTCCCCCTAGTAAGTGTACAATTATTATGTTGCAATGACAAGATTTTTTTGACAGGTTGTCATGTTTCATCAACAGAAAACAACAGCCGATTGTGAAAGATTATGTACCTTTCTTTATAGCACATGACATGTCAGATGTGAGATTATTCTCACTTAGTATTACATATCCACATTTCATCAAAACCCTTTATTTGGTGAATTACCATTTTTATGATGACTGTTTAAATTTAAACGGAGCTCCATGCCTCTCTGCATGGAGAAAAGATCCTGGCTAGCATCCGAAGTTGCTGGCTTCATGCACCGCTCATTGTCCCGATTGGAACAAGCAGCATGCAAAGCCAAATCCCCACTGTTATTTCCAATCAGTGGCCAGGGATAACAGCAGGGAGTCTTTCAGGAGGCAGGGCTTGGAAAAAGCCTCTGCGAGCCAGATGGTGAACCTCTGTGGGTCTCAATGGGGAACCTCAGTGGGAAATGAGTGCATATTACACAATTCAGATGTTTTTATTTCCACTCAGGTAATGACATTCTCTAGCCAGAGATATAACTGCACTGTGGCTCCCTATGAAAACCTAATGTTTTATTTTAGGTTTTATATGTATGCAACTTGGAGCACAATCCTGTGTCCACTAGATGCTGTCTAGAGAGCCACAGGATAGGTCAGAATCCCAGCTCTAACTCTGAAAATGTATTCTGAGGCTGCAGCCGGGACTCTGACTGCGGGGCAGCCTCCCTTACCGGCACAGCTGGCATGGTTCTTTCCATGCCACCTCAGGATCCAAACTGGAGCTTGCACTGAGGAAGCATTCCAAGGGATGACGAGGGGAAGTGTGAGGTTCACTGCAATATAAAGAATCTCAGTGATGCTTCAGTTTCTCCTCTTCAGAGACTAGGGCAAAACACCTATTTTTTGCAGGATGGAAAAACCATGGAGGCTGTCCTTGCTTCCTCATTCCTCCTGCGCTTGATTGGATGACCATAAACTTCCAAATTTGGAAGTTACAGGCAGTCACACATTTTGCTTCTGGATTCAGTATCACTAAACAGAATTCATCAGAACTAGGTCCTATCTGAATGCCATCAACACAATCATACAGCATAATCAAAGTATTTTGAAAAAAAAAAACTCAAGAGAACATCCCCAGCATTAGGAAAAGCTTCAGGTTTAAGTCTTTTAAGAGTATTTCTCAAGTCTGTATTACAAAATGCGAAGGCAAATATTTGCAGCTGCTTTAATACAGGGATTGCAGTGAATGAATAAACTAGGTAAAGGGCACTTTCTTCTGGAGCCAATTAGCAAGACAAGCCAAAATATCTATTTAATTACAGTAAGTTTGAGACAGTGCTTTTCTATTTCCAGCAGTTGTCTTATCTTGCTGCTCCATGTATCTTTCTGAGCCAAGTTTACTGATGTCTTTTTTGTGCAGTCATGTAACTAAGGGATCAACTACTGAACTCGCAGTCTGTATTAAAATATAATCTTTCACATACAGTTGTATCATGTCTTTAGAACAGGCTAAAATTTCTCCCATATGTGAATTGGCTTATTCTGAAAGAAAGTCCCGAGACTACCGCAATGATTCATCTGAACCAACTATATTTGATAGCCAAATTCTGCAGCCCCAGAACCTACCTTAAATTTTCTAATTCCTGCTTCCTCAGCGGAGAAGATGGTGGTGCAGGAACAAATTTGTCTCCATCATGACTTTTACTGCTGCAATGAAGACAACATGAGTAGCAATGTTAATGGCTTAAACAGCAGCAGAATCAAGAACTAGCAACACTGACTCTTTCATTTAGGGGGCAAAACACAAAAGAAGCACATTGAAGAAGGTACAGAAAGGGGTCACTATTAAAGAGTGAAAAGGAAAAATACTATATTTTAACATGCATATTAATAGAAAAAGTACTGAAACCATCACATTGTAAGATGGTGCCAGGTGCATAAAAGGAGCTTCTTTATTAGCTTGTATGAGAAGCTACACTTCTTGGCAATGTTCTGTTTCACATGGCACAACAACCCATCATGATAAATCGCCTTGGTGGGTTACTGTGCCATCCAAATCTAGACTGCTTCTCAAAGGATAGCTTATTTATCTGGAACAAGCCATCCTGATAACTTATGACCTGTTCCTAAGGGATGTTCATACTTTAATGGACTGTTGCATCATCTTAGGAGATGAGTTTCATTGTGGGGTAACTGGATCAGCTAGCAAGATTGTTGGCAAGGTTGGCTCACCCCCCTGCTACTCTTTATGATCTTGCCTGCGCTGCCAGCAGTTACTGCCCTACCACCAATGGCCAAGTAGCACCTTGGAGCAACTCTCACTGGTCCATCACCCTTTTCTTCAGTATCAGAAAACTGCAACCAAGAAAAGTATTTTCTTGGCCTTTTGCAAGTGTACTTTTATGGCTGCCTAATAATTCTAAATCTCATCTAGTCAATTTTCTTGTTGGTTTCAGATTTCAAAGTGGGCTACAAAGTTGAGTAGCGTATTGACAAGACCGTACTTCATAGAGTCTAATTTGCACGCAGTCGGCAGGGTCATATTGCTGAGCTGTCAATGCAGTGGAAAGAGATGAATGCAGCACAAGTAGGTGCATCAAACGGGGAGAGGAGATGACAAGATCACCCACTTAGCAGTGTAATCCCCTGTCTTAAGTAGTGAACAGTTCTCAGTGCCCTTCACCTTTTTATAGAAACATAGAAGTAAAGTGAGTCAGAAGGGGCCTCTTGGGCCATCTAGTCCCCAGCTCCAGCCACTCCACTTATGTAATCCCCAACACATGGTTGACCAATCTTCCCTTGAACACCCTCAATGGGGCCTCAACCACCTGCCTTGGAAGGCCATTCCATATCCTAGGGATCCTAACAGGAAGTACTTCCTGACATCCAACCTGAAGTCTGGTTCCCAACCCAGCTGCCATTCTTGTGGCCCTACACTGTACCAATTCTTCCACACTTCCAGCTACCCAAGAAAGGGGGGAAAGTGGTTCCCTGCAACATATTTTTCACAATTCCTTTTCAGAGCACTTACTGCTGCAATCGCAGTGGAACCTGAACAACTGTACATATTTCCTTTCCATTTACTGTTCAGTCATTCCATTGGCATATAAATCTGCATTTCACTCAGACATGTTGCTGTAGAAATTTTTTTAGAGTAAGGAGCACTCTGAGGTACTGCCTGGGAGATATGGAAGTAGTGGGAGAACAAGTCCAGGCAAACTCAATCATCTGTTGGGAGCACTTTGGATTGTTCCTGAACAAGCCACACCATTCTTATTCCCAGGGTGGTTTAGCATGTTGTGCAAACCTATCCAATGCCTAATAAGTCTAACGTATGTATTTCCTTCTTGTGCAAGGATAGCTCTTGGGAATCTTGCATTGTTTTGCCCCTATGGTGACAAAGTCTACAGTGTCACACATTATGGCATAGTGAAAGAAGCCTGCCTAACTGCCAAGACAAGAGGGAAATACTCTAAAGTCAGCCCTGGGTTTAAGGAAGTGGAATTTTGATCCATGTCAATTTTGTCTTTAAAATTTCAAGACAGCCAATGTCAAAGTATATTAAAAATACAATTAAAAGTCATTAAAACAAAGTATCATTTAGGAAAAAGCAAAAGACAAAACCAGCAGATTAAAATAACTAGAAAGAGCAGTTTAAAACATCAGAAGAAACTAGGGAGGTTCACCCAGGAATGGAACGCAATGACTGCCTCAGGAATCAGAGAAAGACAAGGCAGGTTTTAATGAAGGGGAGAGAGGCCAAAACCCTTTCCTGAATAGGAAAGTCTTCTTTGTGCTGCAGCGGAAGACCATCAAGGAGAGGAGCAAGGCAGATTTTCCTTGGCAGGGAGTACCAGAGGCTAGGCATGACAGCAAAAAAAAAAAAAAAAAGAACCTTCTCTCTGATCCCAGTCAAACAAGGCTTTGGGTCATAAGGGGCCTCTGTCGCCTATCGTAATATGCGAGCATGTATTATTAGTGACATAGTAGTGGAGTGGAGAGGTAAGAAGAGAAAAAAAGCAGATGCCTCCAAAAAGAGAAAAGCTGCTCAGAGATAATCATGCTAAAGCAAATCTCTCTTTGCTTTTTATTTTTATCCCATAAATAACAATGATGCTCCTGTAGTATTGATCTTTCTTGGTGGCACAAGGTTCAAATACAGTCGAGATATATTAAAGATTATAGAATATATGGTTTTTATAAGGAACTAACAGCATATTTGATCAAAGGATTTTAAAACCAGATGAAAAAATGATTAAAAGATTGTATAATTTTCTTTTGGACATGAAAGTGGAAGATGAACAAGTTAAGGCAACTATGATAACATGGGCACAAAATTTATCGCCAAACAGATTAGCAAAAATGTTTCCAAATATGTCAAATAGATGTTGGAAATGTAAACACAAACCTGGTACTTTTTATCATTTGTGGTGGACTTGTGTTAAGGAAAAAAATATTGGGTTAAAATACACAAATGGCTTGAGGAAATGCTACAAAAATCTTTAACATTTAAACCTGAAGTTTTTCCTGATGATTTTGATAAACAGGCTATATATTTGATTTTACATGTAATTACCGTGGCGAGGATTGCATTTTCCCAATATTGGAAGAGCAAAGAGCCACCTACCAAAGAGTTGATTTTAAAAAAGATTTTGGATTGCACAGAGATGGACAGGTTGACCTTGTGTTTGAAGGAGAAGGAAGATACATGCTTCTATCAAACTTGGAACTCTTTCTATTGTTAGAGAAACAGGATTATGTGTAGAATTGAATATGGTTTGATTGTAAAAAAGAATAAGATGTCAAGTGAGTATGTCCAATGTCTTGAATAATTGTTGTTTTAGTGTTAGATTTGCAGAGAAAATATTTTTTTTTAAATAACAATGATGCCATTTTTAGAGGTTTACTTAATGAAGCTGGAACCCATTTTTAAATTTTTGAGCACTGCAATAGACTCCTGAAGTGAAGCAATCAAATTCAAACAACTCAAGTTCTTTGGCATCAGCAAGTCCAGTTTACAGTGCTTTTTCCACTCAGGCTAGAAGCAAACTTTTCCATCGGATGGTCAAAAAATACTCCAAGCCAGTTTTTCATACATTGGCTTTTTAATTACAAGTTTCTGTGATTTGTGGCAAATACTCACTTTCTTTCCCCTTAACTAGACAGCTTGAGGCTGCATCTTCATTCTAAAAGTACAAAAACACCTGCACACCCAATTTGTACAGGTGGAACTGCCCACAGTAAAGAACTTACAATAAATAGCATTCAACCTTTTCAGACTTGAGATCTGCTTTTAACCTCAATGTGCTTTTGAAGACCTTCCTTTATCTGAGTTTGACAATACATGTCCCATCAGCCCAACTCAGGCAAGTTAGATGACAAAAAGGAACTGCAGAAGAGAGGGATGAATTCACTCCCCAGACTCAGACATGGACAGAAGCCTGTGACCTGGTTTTTGCTGGCTATAAGCAGAAACACAGGATATTTGCATTATTCCAACAGCCACCAAGCTGGAGTGGAAAAGCAGAGACAGACCTGTTGCCCCATAGT